ATACCTAAGATAAAGTTCGGTTTTAAATTAGGCACAGTAAGAGATTGTAAGAGATTAGCAACAGCAATCTAATAAAAGTTATGTGAATGTGGTCTCAAAATGTACTCATGATGTGAGATGATACAAGGCCTACAAAATGAGGGGAATTGTATGCAGTGTGATGTAGTATTAGGCAGGCTATTAAAGAAATGTTACTTGAATACATGCATTGTCAACAGTTGATCTGATAACTCAGAGCTAATAGGTAGTATATATGCTGTGCAAAGGGATGATTCTCATCTCAGATTGAAACTACTCAGTGGTACACAATTTAAAACTTTCAGACTTTTCTGGACCATGGGTAACTGAAACAACCCGTTAGCATATGGTGGTTAGAGGGAGATCTGTAATCAGAGAACAGAGATGATTATGCAGGATTAGATAAACGTTAAATTAAAAAATGGTACAAAGAGACTAGGGCACATGTATTGGTAAAACAGTAAGTTCCCAAGAAGATAAATACATGCACCAAACATCGGAGCTCCAAAATCTATAAAGCAAACCAAGAATTACTATAATAAAAGAAACTTCCAGCCCTACTTTCAATAATAAAAGCACCAGATAGGATTAATAAGGAAATAGAAGACAAAAAATATAAAGCAACTCGAGAAAGCACATTTATCTCAAGTGTGCATGGAACTCTCTCCAAGATCGATCACAAAGCAACTCAAATTTAAAAGACTGAAGTCATATAAAGCACCTCTGTCAATCACAATACAATGAAACTAGAAATAAACAATAGAAAGAACACTGGGAGGTTGGAGATTGACAAATATGGGGAAATTTAAAAATCAGTTAAATCACAAGGGAAATCAGAGAATTCTGAGATAAATGAAATAAAAGATCAAGTCATGGGATTTCAAGCCATGAAAACAATGCAAAAAAGGACACAGCTGTAGAGGCTATTTAAATCAACCTAACTGTACAACTTGAGTAACTGGGGTTGGGGAACCCCACAGGCTAGTAGAAGAAAGAACAAAAGATTAGAGAAGAAACGAGAAAAATCAACAAAATCAAGAGTTAATTTCCCAAAAACATTAACAAAATTGACAAACCTTTAGCTAGCTTAAGGGGAAAAAAAACCAGAAATGAAAGCGGGGACATTACTACCAATTCTATAAAAGTGAACAGGATTATAAACAGGATTGTTTGGGCAAAACCTCCCTCTCCAAAACAGATAGTACTACCAACAACTGTATGCCAACAAATTGGATAATGTGGATGAAAAGAAATTCTAGAAACATTCGACCTGACCTACCAAGACTAAATCATGAATACGAAACATAAACAGTTCTATAATTAGGAGATTGGATGAATAATTTATAATCTCCCAAACAAACAAAAAGCCCAGGACCAAATGGTCTCGATGGTGAATCCTGGCAAACATTTTAAGAGGAGCTACCACAAATCCTTTCCAAACTCTTGTAGAAATTCTCCTAATTCATCCCACGATGACCATACACCAAAGCCAGAAAAGACACTGCAACAAGAAAACATCTCCATCCCATATGACTATTGTCTAAAAAACTCCTTTAATAAAAAAAAGTAAATTCATTTTCCTATTAAAAGGATTATACACCATGACAAAGCAGAATTTATTCTTTTGACATATCATACACATTAACAGAATAAAGTGGTAAAACCATGTCTTTTCAACTCATGCAGAAAAAGCATTTGGAAAGATTCAACACCCTTTTATGATTAAAACATTTAAAGAAAGGAAACTACCTCCACATTAAAATCTATGTGGAAATCCACAGCAATGATGAAAGGCTGCAAAAATTTCCTAAGATAAGGAACAAAACAAAAAGCTGCTTTTTGTTGCCTCCATTCAACATACTGTTTCAAGTTCTAGCCAGAGCACAATTAGGCAAAAATTAGAAAAAAAGATACCAAACCGGAAGAAGTAAAACTCGGAACAAATGACATGATCCTATCTAGAAAAACCCCAGATCTCACACACATACACACACACACACACACACACAAATAAATTCCACAGATACAGGATACAAAATGCATATAAGCCAGTTGTGTTTTTATAAACTAACAATGAACAATCCAAAAACAGAAAATTCTACCTGCAATAGTACCAAAAAGCGTAAAATATTTAAGAATAAACTAAACCAAGGAGGCAGGTGGCTTTACACTGAAAACTAAAAAAAAATTGTTAAAAAAAAAAAAAACTAAGGGAAATAAAAGGGAAGATTTCTTGTGCCCAAGATATCTTGTAAATCTTAATGCTAAGGTCACAAAACTTTCCAAAACAATCTGCAGATTCACTGGAACCTCTACTAAAATCCCAATGATCAGCGATGTTTGTTTTGTAAAATATCCTAAAACTTACAAGGGACTCTGAGTAGCCAAACCAGTCTCGTTTAAAAAAAAAAAAGGTCACATTTCCTGATTTCATAATTACTAGAAAGCTACAGTAATCAAAAAAGTATAATGCTGACATAGACATAGACCATGGAATAAATTAGCCCTGAAATAAACTCATGGATATATATGGCCAAATGGTCTTCAACAAGGGGACCAAAGTAACTCAATGGGAAAAGGATAGTCTCTTCCATAAATGCTGTCGGGAAAACTGGGAATCTATATGCAAAAGAATGGAATTACCTCACACTATACAAAAATTTTAAATTGATCAAGGTCCTAAATGTACATTTAAAACTGTAAAACTGTTAGAAGAAAGCATAGGACAAAGGCTTCTTTCTTAACACTGGATATGGCAATGATATCTTGGATATGCTAGCAAAAGCACAGGTGTCAAAAGAAAAAAGTTTGACTTAAACAAAATTAGTTTTTTGCATCAAAAGACATTAGCAATAGATGGAAAAAGCAATCCAGGGTTGCTAGGGATATAGTTCCATGGTAAAACACTTGCCCAGACTGTGGAAGGCTAAGGCTCTGGGTTTGGTCCTCAGCATTACCCCCTACCTTCACAAAGTAAGGGCATCTATAAAACAGAAAATATTTGAAAATCATATATCTGATAAAAAATTAATATTCAGAATAAACTTCTAAAATGCAACAATAAAATTGATTTAAAAATGGGCAAAGGACTTGAAGACATTTCTCCAAAGAAGATATAGAAATAGCCAAAAACCACACAAAGATGCTCAACCACAGTAATTACAAATTCAGATTTTGCAAATCAAAATCACAATGAGATAGTGCTTCACAGCCATCAGGATGGCTAGTAGTTTTCTTAAAAAAGTAAGTATTGTTGAGGGTGTGGAGAAATTGGACCCTTTTTACTTTGTTGATAGGGATGAAAACAGTGCAGCCAGCCGCTGTGAAAAACTATGGTAATTCCACAAAATTTACGGACAGGTCACATTATCCAGCAATTCTAGGTATGTACCTGAAAATACAAAGCAGGGATCTGAGCAGACATTTATACACCCCAATAGGTAAATGCATAAACAACGGGACTATGTATTTAACCTTAAAAAGGAAGGAAGCTGACACATTCCACAACATGGATGAAACTTGCGTGCTCAGTGAAATAAGCCAGACATAAAGGCACAAGTGTGAGCCGATTCGTAGGAGGTACCCAGAGTCACAATCAGTAGGGAAAAGAGGTGGAATGGTGGTTGCCAAGGACGGGGGGGGGGGGGGGGGATATTATTCTTCAATGGGTAAAGAGTTGAATTTTAGCTTTAGAAGATGTAAAACTTGTGGCAGTAGATGGTGGTGATTAGTTACAAGAATGAGTATAATTTAATGCCACAAACTGTACACTTAACTAAAATGGCCAGGTGCCCGTGGCTCGTGCCTGTAATCCTAGCTACTCAGGAGGCAGAGATCAGGAGGATTGTGGTTTGAAGCCAGCCCAGGCAAATGGTTCAGGAGACCCTATCTTGAAAAACTCTTCACACAAATAGGGCCAATGATGTAGCTCAAAGTGTAGGCCCTGAGTTCAAATCCCAGTACTATAAAAAAAAAGTTGAAATGGTAAATTTGGGGTTAAATATATTCTACCACAATAAAAAAAATTAAGGAAACATGAGAATGCAACAAAGGAAAATGAATGAATAAAGCAACTCATACTATAGATTGACCTGGAAAGAAAATGTTGGTTTAAATTAGTATGATACAATGATTCCACTTGTGCAATATCCAAAAACCAGTTTATAGATATCCACGCAGTATGAAAAGTAAATGCAAACAGCAAGAGGTTGGTTACTACAGGAAGGTACAATTGTGTGGAGGCACGATGGTGGCTTTTAAGGCACCACAGACTCAGGTTTCATTCCTTAAGCAGTGGGTACATGGTCTTTTATATAAACCTAGCATGTGATATTTCACAATTTTTTTTTTTCCTTTTTGTTTGGCAGTATTGTGGTTTGAACTCAAGGCCTCACACTTGTCAGGCAGGTGCTCAACCACTTGAGCCACACCTCCAGTCTGGTATTTCAAGAAAGCAAGATATACTCTGCCACGCCTGAGAAGAAAAGCAAGCCTTCTCCATGTTTATTTCTCTGCTGGTTTGTGCCCTGTAGCAAGACTAGAAAATCCAAAACCCTCAAAGAAATAAAACAGTTCCACTTTGTTCACCCAGATGTTTTACACCTGTGGTCCTGAATCGGCTTATTGCTGTAAGTTCCGGTGGTGACGCTCCTCAAAAAACCCTCACTGAACATGAATTCAGTTATAAGTTCATAACAGTTGTTATGAACCTGTCAGAAAGCATCCACAAATAATGTTTATCAGGTGGACTTTTCCGATGTGTTTAAAACACTGTTACATGTATTCAGAATTGCTTCCTACATCAGTGATAGCAGTATCTAGCCAAGAAAATACAAGCTCATTCAGAGCCACCTACCACAACTTTTGAAACACTGAAAATAAAATCACAGATACACAGATAGGTACAGTATTTAATTGAAATATATTTGTCTAATATCTACAAAGTGAACAATTGGGCTTAAGAAAGCAGACAAAAGGCACAAAATTAGTATTACTACAGAGAAGCAGTCATGCTACTGGACTTTATAAATATCACTGGAATGGCACAGTAGAAATAGAATAAGCACTGAGTAAAAACTCAAATCACTTTTCCTTGCTTTTTGTTTGGGCCGTGTCTGTGGTCTCATTTGTAAAGCTGAGACTGAGATTCAGCTGAGGCCATGGGACACTTGAGGTTTATGCACGTTTTAGCCACACTGGCTTCCTTGAAGAATTTGATCAAACCAACAGATGCACTTAAGAAAACTCCACCATAAATCCTCTTCTCTTTCCTCAAAAAAAATACAAGGTTGAGGCAATGATTGTACATGCTTATTTAACTTCTGAAGCCCTTTTTTCATCATAAAAGTAGTGAAGTCTCCGTGTGAGGTGTTTCTGCCATACAGGAAGGAAAGGAAAGCTTCTGAAGGATGTATGATTCATGGTTTGAGCAGAGAAACTGTCAGAAAGATAGGGAGAAACTCCTTGATGGGGCCTGGCCACCACTGTGGAGGGCTCCAGCATCCAACTTCAACAGCTTTCTGCTCACCTCATCCACAGGAAGGAGCCCTTCTCCTGGGTGTGGAGAGGGGTGAAAATCACAATAGTCATGACATGATAGCCACCACCCTTCTGCCAAGACCGCACCACTTTATCCTAGAGGGACCTGAACTGGGCCGGGCCAGCTCAGCCTGCACTGTGATAGCTAAGTGAAAACATCTGTGTAATTGCAAAAGGTTTTTTGGCAAAGTGAAAAATAGAAAACTTCAAACTTCACTGATAAAAAGGGGCCCATGATTACCCACTTAAACATTGGGGAGTACAGATTTCACATGTGTAGCAGTACTCAGGAGGTGTGTACACAGCATGTGTGTGAACAGCGTGCACACGCCCCAAATGGCTCTTGAATAAATTCAATCCTCTAGCAGAGTAGGGGGGTGCCTTTTTCACAGTATACCATTTTTTTCTGTTACCGTTTCTTGGATGCTAACAAGAGGTCTCAGTGAAAGCCAACAGAATCTCGGTACTGTACCACTTTAATTTCTACAAAAACAGGGCTGTGTAAGGGAAGCTGTGCACCGCACCCCATCAGTGTGCCTTCCAGAGGGGATTGAAGTAAACCCAGCCATCACCCTGAAAAAGAAAGAAGGAAGCATTACATGGAGACCTCACAGCCAGGAAAAGGGGGAAGCAAAGATGGGTCCCCCAGCCTCTAATAGGCAGAGACACTGCAGTGCAAGCTCAGGACTTGCTCCGGAGAGCTCCCGGCCAAGCCACACTGGTGGTCTCACTAGCACTCCTTAGCCTGGCTATTTTCAGAGCTCAGAAATATTTTACCTTAGCATTTCAGGAAATGACCCATGAAATGACCAAAATAAAAAGGGGAGATTACTTGGCAAAATAACACTATGAGACAAAGGGGCAACAAAAAAAAAGTGGGTGGCTGGATGAATGGACAGGAAAGAGACTCAAGAGCATGTGTATATGGAATTTACCCAAGCCAGCTTCTTGACATCCCACACTGCCCAGCAAAGACTCCAGCAGGCACAAATAGATGGGCACATCACCAAGGGGCAGGTGGAAAAGGCAAGACTCAAAACAGTGTCTATGACCTGGTGTTAAACCAGAAGGGAATGTACTAGGTGGTAAGCAGCCATTCCAGTGTTAGGTGGCAGACACTCTTACCTGTCTCCAAGCCTTCTGTTAGGAACATACTGGCCTCTTATACCCCAGAGGGAAAACTGTGGTTTTTTCAGTTGTCATTTAATGAACAACTTTCCACAGAAGATAAGAAAACTAGCTGTCTCAGACAGGATCCACCTTGTGGAAGGATATTTTGAGGCTTTACCTCACCTGAGCAAGACTCAGGACCCCACTCAGACACGGACCCCACTCAGAGATTAGCAAACCTGGGCTAAAGGGCCACAGATAAGATTCTGATTGATTCTTGGTATTTACAAGTTTTTGCCTTCCTTCACATCACAAATAATCAGATTCCTCATAAAGATCCAGATTCCTAGGCCAAGCTCTGGTTCATACCCTACAATCCCAGCTACTTGGGAGGTAGAGATCAGGAAGATCATGGTTCAAGACCAGCCTAGGCAAAGTTAGTGAGGCGCTATCTCACCAAGTAAGTGGGAGGCCATAGATAGGAGTATTGCAGTCTAGGTTGACCTGAGCAAAAACTGTGAGACCCTACATGAAAAATAACAAAAGCAAAAAGGGCTGGGGACATGGCGTAAGTGGTAAAGCACCTGCCTAGCAAGCTCAAGGCCCTGAGTTCAAACCCCAGTAACACCAGATAAAAAAAAAACCCAGATTCCTGGCTCATCATGAAGAATCAGGCAATCTCTGACCAAGAAGTAAATGGCACCCTCTTGAGACACAGGCTCTCCTGTCTGTCCCTTTCTCACAGGTCTGCTTCTCCATGGCACCAAAGCCTGCCTTACAAACTCGAGCTCCTACATTTACTAACTTCCTACTCTTCTCAGAACGCAGCCCAGTGATAACCCTTAGGTAAGAGCCTAAGGGGTTCACTGTCTGCTTCCCAGCTCATGGCCACAGGAGGCAGCAGCACTTGAGGCACAGGGCTCTACAGGGCTCCCTGGCATGGCCACACAGGTGGCCACGGGAGTCAAAGCACTGACAATCAGCCAGGAGTGTTCCTAGCTCACCTGGTATGGAGATGGGCTGGGAGTCCCCTAGCTGATTTGTTATAGTGAGAACCATCCCAGGTCTGAAGTCTTCCCTACTCCTTATCCCCTGGCAGGCCAGGGGGTTGTGTCATGGAGGCAAGTGTCACCTACTTAGTTCTGCCCTCACTGTACTGTCATGAATGTTGCAGGGAAACTGTTCTGAATTCTGGACCAAAGCTGGAGCCACAGCCTTCCTGTCCTGTCTGTCCCAATCCATCCAACCCACCCTACCTCCCTGGGGACAAGCTGGCGGGTACCTCCTGGGTGAAGTATCTGGGTTGCCAGGGCACCCGGAGGGTCTCCCGCTTCCGCTCCTCCGCACGCTGCTTCTCCTCCAGTCGCCGTTTCTGCTCTGTGGCAGCCTCAATGTCCCCTAGTCGCAGGTTTCGGGTAACCTCCTGCCAGAGGTTCCTGGGGACACAGAGAAAAGGAAGCCATCAGTGGAGCTGCAGTGGCCAGGGAAGGGCAGGACACCTGGGCAGGACAGAGTGGGAGGGCGGGGGCACCACCTCCACTCCACCCCTAAGCAGCAGTCATTCTCAGGGCTGAGTGCAGGAGACCACTGGTGACCAAAGCAGGCAGTGTGGCGGCAGCAGCACCCCAAATGCCAGCAGGCCACACGGGATTACTGCATCTTCCACGATCACTGTCTACACAGCCCATCGAATCCTCCCAGCCCAATGTGATGGGCTATTTTTCTATGTGACTATAAGTCACACAAGCGCGGTAGCTAGCTCGCCCAACATCACCAACTTGGTAAGTGGGGGGCAATGTCTGCTTTGCCACTAGGGAACCCAGATCTTAGAAAAAAGAAAACTGGCTGTGTGGCTGTGTTTATGGCACAAGAGTGCGGAGGGTGGGGGGTGTCTCACACGCAGTCTCCTCCTCTGGACCTCCCAGGTGCCATCCTGGGCTCTGGGGGGCACCGTCCTCAGGGGTGAGGTGCTTCCCCACTTCAGCGCATCAGAAGCCCTGAGCAGGACAATTCCCGGCACCCAGGACGAGTGAGGGCGCTGCCATTCGATCCCCTTCTATAACCGTCTGTTGCCTGGGCACAGCACACGGGAAGCCAGGAGCGTGGCCGCATAGGCTGAGGAAGGACAGCGGGGCTGCCAGAGATGGGGAGCGGCACCACTGAGGAAGGTCAACGCCAAAGCCAAATCCCAGCTGCCAGCTCCCTTCCACCAGCTCCATCCTGAGTCTCATTCCACAAAGACCCAGGAACGCGACACTCTGGCCTCAGTATGACAGCGGATGGAAGCCAGGTCCCACTGCACAGCCCTTGCTATTTCTCCTGCGCTGCGGCCGGATTCAAGAGGAAAGCCTCCACTGGCGCGTGAAGAAGCAAACGACGCATACACAGAAAGGAAGACTCTTCAGCCACGGGGACACGGCTCACGTGCCAGAGCCTGACTAGTACGTTGAGGCCCTGAGTTGGAGGGAGGAAGGGAGGACACTGCGCTCGGTGAAGCACAGAAAGACAAGTGCCGCATGTCTCACTTCCATGTGGAAGCTCAAACTGCCGGCTCCACAGGAGAGAGTAGAATAATGGTCGCTAGGGGCTGGAAGGGGACAGGAGAGGGAGATACAGAGAAGCTGGATAACAGGCACCAAATCACAGCACAGTAGGGTGATTCCAGTTCATAATTTATTGTACATTTTAATAATAAGAAAATAAAAACCTCGAAGAGAGACGTTCTAAGGTCTCCAACACAAGGAAATAACTTTTTTTTTTTGGTGGTACTGGAGTTTGAACTCGGGACTCTCATTTGCTAGGGAGGTTCTCTACCATTCCTTTAGTTATTTTTCAGCCAGAGTCATGAGCTTTTTTCCAAGGCCAGGCTCTGACTACCATCCTCCAATTTACATTTCCTGCATAGCTGGGATTCAGGATTATAGGTATGAACAACCATGCATGCCTCGTTTGTTGAGATAGGGTCTTGTGCTTTTTGCCTAGGCTGGCCTCCCAAATACCTAGGATTACAATGATAAATGTCTAAAGAGATGAAAATGTTAATTACCCTAATTTTATCATCAGACACTGGACATATATATTGCATCACCACACTGTGCCCCAGAAATATGTACAATTATTATGTCAATTTTTTTTTTGAGACAGGGACTCACTATGTAGCCCAGCTTGGCCTCAAACTCAAAATTCTCTTGCCTTCCCTTCCTGAGTGCTGGGATGATAGACATACACAACCATGTCTATCTCATTGTGCCAATTTCTAAAAAAGAATTGACTTGGGAACATAGCTCAGTGGTAGGGTGCTTGCCTAACCTGTTCAAGGCCCTATATTCAACCCCCAGCACTGCAATCAATCAATCAATCAGAAAAAGTAGGGCAAGGCACACTGTAAGCATATACAGAAATGTCACAATGAACTCCCCCTGTACAACTAATACATGCTAATATAAATGCTTACAAACGTCACTGAGGATGTCAGGTCAAATCCAGTTTTATCTTCACGCTGAGGGTGGGGTGGGCACAAGGACAGCCAGGGCGAACAGTCCTCTTTAGGGCAGGGCCTCCCATGAAAAGTCCCTGTGCTCCAGAGGACAGAAACCCCCTAAGGACCAGAGTGGGTGGAAGGGCAAGAAGAGGCCCTCAAAAGAGCTCTACCCAGACAAGTCTGGAGACACCCAAGGGTAGGGTAAGGTTGAGGGGTTGGGGGACTTGCCTGGGGAAAGCTCTGGACACCAAGCTAAAAGAGAACGCCGATAGGGATGGGGCCTCTAGGGATGGGAGTCAGTGAGAAAAGCACAAAGCAGCAGCCTGTGAGGGGCGCCACTGTGGTGAAGGACAGAGGCAGGACTTGTGCGCTGACCACACCTGGCAACAGGAGGAGCAATGGTTTCCTTCCAAAGGCATTAGCGCCACCCTCCAGCCCCTGGTCCACTCAGCCGTGCTGTGGCCCTCCCTTGCCTCTGGAGGCAGGGCCCAAGGAAGCTGGGGGAGGGACTGTGGGAGGGGGCGCTGGGCAGCAAGGAATGCCACCCTGGAGGATGGACCCCCTCCTACTGCCACCTTTCCCTTTTCCTGCTCCCCCGTCCTATGGGCTGCAGTGAGGCTGGCCACTCACTGTCCCTGATGCACGAGAAAGAGTCCAGTCCCGCCAGCAAGCCAGGAGCCGGGACGCTGATGCTCCGCTTGCCTCGTGCCCAGCTGTGGCGAGTCGTTGAGCTGCATCCTTCGAACACTGTTTGGTTATACTTCCTAGGCACTGCTCCCACCTGGCTGCATGTTCTTCTAATCATAGCAAACTCTCATGTAATCGTCTGAAATTTCATTTTAACCCTACCGTATACTACAAAGAACAGCACACTGTTGGGTGCTAGCAGGGACTGGCCCACACTTTCTGTAAAGGGTCAGATACTTAAGGGTTTAGGCTTTGCAGACCCTATGGTCGTGGTTGCAACTAAACTCCATCGTTGTAGCAGAAAGCACAAACAGTATGTTAACCATGTACAGCGTAAATGATCATGGCTGTGTTCCAATAAAACTTTATTTACAAAATCAGCCCGGGCAGGGTGTGACCCATGGGCCATAGTTTCCTGATAACCTAGACAAAATTCAAGATGTAAATACAAGGCAGAAATGTCACACTGAGTGGCTACACTGCAGTCACACCAGTGGACACTGATTGGGTGGCTAGCCCATAGTGGACCTAAACTTTTCCAAATCTCAGACAGTTGGGAGTTCCTCTTTAAAAATCTTTGCTGAACTTAAGAATGTGCCCTGAGAAGAGTCTTAGAGTAAAAAAAGATTAAGGTGAATTCACAAGTTTAGAGGACTGATCTATCACACCTCTGCCAGGGGACAGGGTAGAGCACCGTGAATACCACACACACCCTTACCAGCACTGCATTAAAAAAAAATAACCTTGCTAATCTGCTAAGAAAAAACTAGCACTCCAGTGCTTCACTGCACCGACCTTTGATGGATGGCAACTCGCTGTGGTTAATTTTGCAATCGAGCAACACATCAGTTGAGTTAGCAAACTAGTCAGGGCAGGCATCAAGTCTGATGTAGACTGTCACAGCCCACCCATAACTGCAGAGACTGCCAGCATGGGACACAGAGGGAAATGGAACCACCATAGTGGCTAGAACCTGAGTCCTGGCCCATCTCTATCAGCTGGGCTGGCCCAGCTTCCTTTCTCCCTCAGTCAGGTGTGAGGGTGACTGAGGCGAGGAGCTGCACAGGACGGTCCCCACCTGGACTCCATGGGTCCCTGCTTCTCGAGAGGCCTGATCTTCTTGGGGTACACGGGCAGGGCAGTTGTGTCGATGACTTTGGTCTCCCCGTTGCTGTAGGTGAACTCCAAAGTGCCATTCCACTCCCCGTGGGCCTTACAGACGATGGTGTTGGTTGGGTTGTGCTTCACTTCTGCCGTGACCCTGGAGGAATGGACAAGTCAGTGGAAGAAAGCCCTGGACGGGGGCCCGCGGATCTAGACAGGTTGAGGGGTTGGGGTGGAGGGATGGCTTTTGCAGTTTGGGTCAACTCATCGGAACAAAGAGAGGTGGGAAAACTGGTGAGAGCTGCATAAAGATGAGCAGCGAGAAGCGGCTGAGGCGTGCGATGAGGTGGTGGTAACGCAGCCCTGCTTATCTGACTTCCCCAAGTGTGCACTTGCCGACTACAGCACTCCATGGTCACGAGATGTTATCGTGGGGCGGAAGCCAAGCAACTCAGAAAGACAAACTCCACTGTCTCCTCCGTCTGCAAACTGCACGCCAGATATGCTACATTTTCACCACCGGAAGAGTGGAGGCTGTAGGGAGCATTTTCGGATCCTTAAACAAGGTCAGCTCCAAACATGGGCCAAGCAAAGCGCTCACAGGACAAGGACGGCGACATCGCCCCCACCACACCCCTAATCTCAGGCTGAGGGAAACCTGGGCTCCGGCCTCACTCAGTACCTGCCTACTTATGGTGGCAGCTGGGGGACAACCTTCAACATCTGCTTAACAAGGCTGTGAAGGGACTGGTGACCCTGTCTCCCCGCCTAGCCCGACAGGCCCCAGGTCCCTGCTTCTGGTGTGAGCGGCCGCGCACCTCCCTCTTCTTCTGTGTGGTCCGAGCAGCAAGGATGCCTTGGAAATTTCCTCCCCAACCTGAAAACCAGCACAGGTCCGGGCGGCAGGGACCCGGGCGGCAGGGGCGGTGGGGTGGTGTGCTGGAAAATGCTCAAGAGCGGGCTCTGCGGGGAAGCCATGCTTATCGGCTTTGTCAGTTTCTGTGGTGTTTCAGTCACCATCATGGCTGCACTGAGTGAGGGGCAGAGAAAACGCCCACCATCAGCTCTGCGAGCAGGGGCAGGCGGGCTCCAGGGCAGCCGTGTGCTAACGTCCACACTGCCCAAGAAACAGCACAGAACCCAGAGGCGCTTACTCTGGAGGTCTGCCCTGAGGGGCCTTTGCTGCCAGAGCCAGAAAAACACCTTTGCGCTCCCTCCCTCGGCAGGTTTCTCCTTCAGCGGAGGACTTGTGACCTCAGCTTCTGAGGGAGGAAACCGTCCCATACCAGGATCCAGGACAGCCAGGGGACCCGGCCAGAGGACGGGGACTCTCCCCAGGCTCCAGAGGAAACCAGTGCAGAGCAGGAAACATGGGCACTGTGGAAGGCAGGGTTGACTGGAACAAGCTCAGCTGCCTGCCATCCTGGACGTGTTCTGCAAATGCATGACCAGAGAGTCCCCCGTGAACTAAGAGGGGACGGCCCTTGAAACCTGTGATATGAAGTGGGAAACAAGGCCACATCTATAATCCCAGCTACTTAGGAAGTGGAGATTGGGAAGACCTGTGTTCAAAGTCAGCCCCAGCAAAAGACCCCATCTCAACCAACAAGCTGGGTGGGAGGTGGTGGTACACATCTATAATCTCAGCTCTACAGGAAATATAGATAGAAGGATCACAGTCTGAGGCCAGCCCCAGGCAAAAACTTGAAGCCTTATCTCAAAAATACAGGTAGGAGGAAAAGGATAAGGAAGAGTAATAGAGGGAATTTGACTAATTAAAGTTCAATAACAAGGCAAAATGCCACTGAACAATGAACAGACACTCACACAGTGAAGGACAGGAAAGTAAAACCGATCCTGTAAGGGGAGGGGACTTGTGGGAAGGGGAGGGTAAAGGAGTGTGAAGATGGTTAGTGTATGTTTACCCATGTGTGCACACAGAACACGGAAACCTGTCGCGGGGAGGGGGAAGAGAAAGAATGATAGTGGGGATGAACCAAGCCAGGGTACGTTGTACTGATATACGGAAATGTCACAACGAAGCCTCCTATACGACTATTATATACTAATAAAAACATCAAAAAAGTAACCAAAGCAGGGCTCAGGTGTGACCTCAAGCAGTGGAGTGTCTGCCTAGCAAGTGCAAGGCCCTCAGCTCAAAACCCTAACCCCACTCACCCTCCTCCAAAAGGAGGAACTGGGGCACCGAGTGAAGCCACCTCCCCGTCACCTACCTGTGGACCTTGCCGCCGTAGAAGGGCTTGGTGTGGAACGTCACGGTGGCTGAGTAGCCGGTCTTGGCGCAGCTGATGCTCACCTTCCCTCCGAGCTCCACCCAGGGGATGGTGAGGATGGAGCGGGCGTAGGCACTGGGCAGGGTGAAGACGTACTCCTCCCCGTGCTCCAGAAGACTCAGCACACCTCCAGGGAGAGAGGGACAGTCAGGCCACTGGACCACCACGGTGCAAAACCCAAGAGGCTCCTGGGACCCACATGTGCCACAAGCCTTGCCGTGTGCCCGGGCTGTGCCGAGTGCCAAGAGCACGACATGAATAAGACAGCCCCAGTTTCTGGCCTCCGGTGGGCGTTAGGGGAGCAGGGAGGGAGGGCATGTAGAGCGAGGAGGAAGACAGGGAGACCAGCAAGGGCCAGCCTTGCCTTTTAAACTGCTCAAAAGCACGCTGAGGTTTTCAGGAGCCAAGTCCAATGGTTCTAGCAAGATAAAGGAGAACAGTGGAGGGCTGAATTCAACTATGACATATTGTGAGAACTTTCGTAAACGCCACAGTGTCTCCCCAGTACAATAAAAAATAAAATTTAGAAAGGGGGGGAGAAAGGACAATGGTTCTCCCGAAGCTATAACCATCAGATGAACACGTGCTGTCAGAACTGGGGAGAGATTCACGACACCTGCCCTCCCACCTAGGCTCCAGGGACAGGGCTTGGAAGGGTCTTGGTCCTCCTGAAACATCCAGAACTAGGTGGCTTTGTTTATTTTCCCAAGGGATTGGCCCCAGTTTTCATCTGGCTGACATGACGACCCCAAAGTGCCCTGGGAACCCGCGCCTGGCCCTTTCCCCTTCATCCCATCAGTTGGCATCCATGCCCCGCCAGCACTGCAGGGCTCCCGAAAACACACGCCCTGCTTCACCCAGCTCAGGCCAGGTCCCCCATCGAGGGGACAGCGAGCCCTCACGAAGGACCGCTCTATCCTTTGATCAGACACGGCCAGAGGAGGTTTGCGACGTCCCCTCCCTGGGCTCCTGGTCCTTCCCCTGGCAAGCATGAAGGTGGGTCAACAATGCCACCGGTGAGGCTCTGACTGCAGAGCCCTCCCGGGCGCTCCCCGCACCGCCCTGCCCTCCCACCGCCCTCCCACACCAGCAGCCCAGGCCTCAGCATGGTTTAAAGCAAGCAGGGGCAACCGAAGCCCAGGAGGCTCGGTCACTGAGCTGCTCCCTACTTCTCGCTCAGGCTGCCAGGGATCTCAGGTAACTAGAGATGGAGTGAGAGAGAAGAGCACAGAGGGAAGGGGGAGAGGGGGAGATGGAAGGGAAGAGGGGAAGAAAGAGCTCTCTGCGTGCATGTGCTTGCAGAACAGTGAGGAGAGATGGGCTCTTCACACAAACCCGCTGCCTCACGTCTGAAGTCACCACTAAGATACACTCCACTATCATTCCATTTGCCCTCAGTGTCCCTTTAAGGGCAACGTAGAAGGCTCCCAGTCAAGTCCTCATGCTCGCACCTGCCTCCCGGGGAGCAGGGCACAGATCCTGGGCGCCACGCTGGTCTAGGCCACCCAGCGGGACGGAGACGCTGAGGATGGACTCACTGGTCGCTCGGTCACAAGGCATGACAGGACGGCAGGTATCACAGATCAATCCCTCTCTGGCAGGAGTGTAACTGAGTACGTAAAACGGAAACGCACACGGCCGACCTGCCACCCCAAGCACAGTCCACACCACAGCAGCAGGGCCTCCTCCATCCACTCCCTGCTGCAGCTCCAACCAGAAGCTTGGAACCGCCTTTGCTGGAATGCATCGACGCCATGCTTGCGCCCATAAACTGAATGCTAAAAGCTGGGGAAGCACGGCATCTCTGGCTTCTATCTGTCTTTGAGCCTTTCTCTCTGCAGCCATCTTGGAAGCCATGAAAGCCAAGACTGATCCACAAGTGGACAGAGGAAACTGCCTGCAGGGAAAGGAACAGGACAGACCACTACCAAGTAACAAAGACTTGCTTATCCTGACCCCTCCCCAAACTAGGACTGAGATACCGATCCACCAGGCCTCCCTCCGCCTGGGACTGCTCCCCAACTATGCACACGGCTCACCTCCTGCCCAGTTCTTTCTCAAAGCTCATGTCTGTACCCGGAAGATGGGCTGAAATGCGACCATTCCCCCTTCCGTCACTGACCACACTTCTTAACAAGCCTCCTTGCTACGCACTTCACCATTTCTTGTCCCTTCCTGTGGCCTGCTGGAGTGAGTGGCCCGACCTGCTATGTGGAACCCAGGAGTTCAGGCTGGGTGCTCCGTAGCTCTCAGGTCTGAGCTAACCCACCATCCTGAGCCAAGAGCCTCATGCTCTCGCTCCGACCTCACTCCTCCCCCACCTCAGAGAGGACCCAAACCATCCAGGTACTTAAAGGAAGAGTGACATGTTAACGAGGATGGTTAGACACCCTGTTTACATTCTTATAGTTTCTTGCTCTGGAGAGTCAAGTCTGATAGTCTTTGTTTCAAAGCCTACATTGTGTCTGGCTCCCTTGAAGTGGGGGGGGCTTCAGAAGACAAGGCAGGTAGGAAACTTGCAGACATGAGATCAATAGTCAAGAACTGGAGGGACACTTCAAAAAGAGAAACATCACTAGTGTGCTGGTGCACGCCTGTAATCCCAGCATTCTAGGAGGCAGAGGCAGGAGGATCCTGAGGTCAACCTGACCTACACAGTGAGAGGGAGGGAGGGAGGGAGAGAGGGAGGAGGAAGGAAGCTAGTTCACAGACACGAACTTCGTAAGGCAGGACCATAAACTGAGATTATTTTTTATCTTTTTTTTTGAGACAGAGTCTTGCTATGTGGCCCAGGCTGGCCTTGAATTCATGGTCCTCCTGCCTCAGCCTCCCAAATGCAGGGATTACGGGTGTGCACCACCACACGTGGTTTAAGATTTTCTTTATGTTTTTGCATGGAAGGTATTTCACAGAATTTTTTTTTTTTTTGGTAGTATTGGGGCTTGAATTCAGAGCGTCATACTTGTTAGGTGGGGGCTCCACCACTTGACCACATTCTCAGCCTCTTTCACTTTAGTTATGTTTTTAATAGGGTCTCACATTTTTGCCTAGGCTAGCTTAGACTGCAATTCTCCTATTTATACTCCCTCATAGCTGAGATGACAGGAGTGTACAACCATGCCCAGCTTATTTGTTGAGATGGGGTGTCATTAACATTTTGCCCACAAAATAGGTAGCTAGGCTCTCCACTTCCCAGGTAGCTAGGTATGGACCACTGCACCCAGCCTGTCACAGATTTTTTTTTTTTTTTTTTTGGTGTGACTGGGCTTTAAACTTAGAGCTTCGTGCTTGTAAAGCAGACATTCTATAGCTTGAGCCACACCTCCAGTCCATTTTGCTCTGGTTATTTTGGACTCTCAAACTATTTGCCTGGGCTGGCCTCAAATGGCGATCCCACCAATCTTAGCCTCCCAAGTAGCTAGGATTACAGGCATAAGCCACTGCGCCCAGCTCCATCACAGATTCTTTTAAAGACCTGGACGAGATCGCAGAGGATTGTTCTACATTCTCTGTTGCTTATCAATGTGGTGACCTCTGTGTCTCAGTGTCGTCTGTGACACATGGATAACAGTACAGGGCCCTCACAGGGCGGAGGAGAAGACAGAGAAGGCCATTCTGAAATGTAGCGGATGGCAGCCTGGCCCAGGTGCCAGCACTGATTGTTCCCCACTCCCCAGCAACTCTCTGGCTCCCTCTGGTGGTAGCTCTGTGAGGATGGGGCACTTTCTCCATGTAAGGCCTTGCTTAAAAGAGAACGACTCCTCCCATCCCATTCATCCACAGCAGCGTGGAGTTTCCCTCAGGTCTCAGAAGTCAGGGCTTAAAAGCCTGGGTCCAGTGACCGGAAGGCCCTGGAAAAATCACGTTTCTTTGGCTCTTTTCTGAGAATCCCTGAACGTTCTCATTCAGTAAGTCACCTGTGGTTATACTCACTCCTGTTTTTCAGGGTTACATTTAAAAAATGTCTTTGATGTGTATAGCGACCCCACAAGAACTAGCCTTACAGATGGGACAGCAAATGAGAGCTGCTTCATTTGGCTTGAGAAAGGCGAGGCCTCAAGCGCCAAGTGACCAGTGTGCTGTGGAGAGTCCTCGAACTGGGAGGTTTTCACTTAAAATTCCACAAACTGATCTACTGATGAACAAGGACAACATTAAGATTTCATGCTGCTAAGTTGAAAATAATTCTGTGCCCAATCTCAATCAGAGGAAACAGAATATCCCGACAGGAAAGTGTAGGACCCTGGAAGATGCCCCAGGAGGGTGAGTGGTCGCCAAGGCCTTGTGAACCCAAGCCCCCATATGTGTGTCACTCCTGTCACTAGGAGTGATGCTGTCCACACAGACACAACTGGGAGGCTGCTGGGTGGCTAGGCACTGGCTGGGGATGGGGAGCCCCTTGTGAGAGCAGGAGGGTGCTGGGCTCCTGCAGCAGGATTCGGAGGGGAGTGGAGAGGAGAGAAGAGAGGCCCTGGCTGAAGGACAGAGCTGGGAGGGCAGGGGCCCTCCCTGTCACTGCCAGGAAGCTGTGGGGGTCTCTGAGCTGCAACCCAATGCCCACAGCCTAATGTAGCACTTTATAATGGTGTGCCACAGATGCTTAGAGATGATTTAAGAGCTAAGCCTTTGTATTTACACCCAAAACTTCAAATGGGCTACTTCAAATTTGCTACCCCAAGCCTGCCTGGCAAGCTCATGGACTGCATTGGGCACCAGCAAGAGAAGAAAGGGAACCCTCCCCCATCTCCAAGCAGCTCTGGCAGGAACCAGAGCCAGCTCTGGGGGATTCTCACCCGTGTGCCTGTGAAGACTAAGATCATGTTCCAGAGGGCATGGACCAACAGGAAAGGTAAGGGGACCCAACTACTGAACGCCAGGCCCCACCCTGCCCAGTCCATCCACCCACAGCAGGAATACACAGAAGGGCTGTGGCCAGGGATTGGCCATTCCAAGCCTCTCTCCAGAATCTTCTTTTCAGATGCCTGAGAAACTCTGAACACAATTCTCAAGCTGTTAAAAAATAAAAAAAAAAAAAAAAAAAGCAAATTCACTTCTGCTTCAAGGTTGGCCACATCTGACCGCTGAGCAGAGGGTACATGCCTTCTCATCCACCAGCAGCACTAGGTG